CAAGCTGATTTTACATGCCCGTGCCAAAAGAAATAGAAGCAGTGGAAAAGCACAACTGGTGGCAGACGCTGGCACGCTGCAGCGTTGGCCGTAGTTGTAGTTGTTCATTTCTTGACTGCCAGGTAACCTGGTGGTGCCCGCTTATGGAGGCGTCTCCGGTAAAGAGTGGGCCTGCAGCCCTTCTCTTCCTGGTGGCAGATGATGGTTCCTACTTTGTTAAGCGCACCAATCATTTTTTGTCTTTACAGTTTAACAGTCAAGGTACTTCTTCCATGTCTTTACCTGTTTAGTCATAAATTGCCTTATCATTATCAGGATTTTATCCTTGCGAGTTACCGTGTATCAGCTAAAATGCGCCTGAAAAAGCAAAAGGAAGAGTGACGGAAGGGAAGTATAAAGATATAGAAGTATAAAGACACACACACACACACCAATTTACAGTGAAAAGGCAAACTGATTATTGAAGAAGGCACCTAAGCTTTACTCAGCCAAGCTGCTCCTCTGGGAAATAGTGCAGATCAAAGTTTTTTCTTTCTTTATGCTATAATTACTTTATCACCCTGTAAAGCTTTTCAGTGCTGATTTTAATCTACTCTCATATTTTGAATCTGCTATCATATGGATCAGTATAGCATTGGTAGAGATACAGTTTCAATGATATTGCTCTGTGAAGGCAAATCTATACGTTGGGGATATCAATAGCAGAGAAATAAAGCTTTGATTTTTTACCAGTGAGGGCAATGGTACTCACACGGAACCGTAAACTACAGCAAGGAAGATCACAGCGCTTTTAGGATGTTTTATCCTGAACGTCAGTGCAAATTATGAATTATCTTCCCAAAATTACAGACAACTGCAGTCTTTTATGTTTGTATTTTGCCAAGAGAGAAGGTAGTTGAAGCCAGTAAGATTTATTCAGTTTTACTGTAGCTCTGAAGAACCTTGAGTGCAGGAGAAAGAGTCAAGGGCCTCATCATCTTCATGTGTCCATTGCTCTTACTGCTGTTTGGGGGAACTGGAGCAACAAAGATGGGCAGTGGTGGTTTTTTTGGCCAGTGCTAGAACTAGTTGAGTGATGCGAAGCAGAATTCAGTCATTTGAATTTGAATTCTGAGTGACTGATAAAGCATGTATATGCTTTCAGTTTTGTCATTTTTAGTTTTTATTTGTGCAGTATTTAAAGAATAGCTGATTTTTATGTGAATAGCCATATTCCCAGGAATACCCAGGAACAAAAGGTTTTTCTTCACTGTGTCATTGTGACAAAATGACCGGGGGAGATAGTTGAAAACTATTACTGCCATGTACTTTGAATGTGAGCCTGAGTTTCCTATGATTTGTTCTTAAGGGAATTGATGTACATAGTTTCTTAACAATTCCTAAGGACTCTTTATACATGAGTATTGCCAGTGGCAAAAAAAGAGAAAGGAAATCATGAACAAGCAAGACTTAGCCTGGGACAAGCGTCTCTGTCTTCTGGGCTGGAGATAATTGCCTCCGCTGCAAGGAGTCCTTAGCCATGATCCTCCCTTGGAGTTATGTAGCTGCTTTGATAACCTTACATATTAGCAACCAAGACAGTTTTCTTTCTCTGTCTCCTCACACTACATCTCATTCTCATGCTTGTCAGTTTTTGCTAGTACTGTTTTTTGGTGGTCCTCTGTTAGTTTTTGGCATTTCTGGTCTTTCTGGATCTGAAAGTTGCAAAGTTTTGTGTCAAAAGGTGTCTCCCTGCAGTTAAGCCCTATTGAAGCAATCACTTTCCTGTGAAATTAAATAATCTCTTTTCTGTATGAGCAAGAGTGGCTAGTTAGCTGAGCTTGACTTCAACAAAATTAGTTTAACTAGTTTAGCTAGCCAGCATGAATAATTGTTTAGCTGTGGTGTGCCATTGTAGATTGCATGGAAGTTTTGGTCAAATTTCACTGAAAATGAAGACTGCAGGACTAAAATGTGATGCGTTTTTTTGACACAGAGAGAGTTTGTTGATGCCTGAACTGTGTTTTTAAAAATGTCACTGGAATGTAGACAGTGATGCCTGTCTACTGTGATTCATATATATGAGCCTGTTTAGACAGCCAATACCATTTCAAAATTGGAATTTTAAGTGATGACAGAGAAGTCTATACTCATCTGTGAAGTGAATCCAGCTGCAAAACACTCTCTCTATATACTTAAATATAAATACACACACACAGATAAATACACACACACACACACACACACACACACACACACACACACACACACACACACACACACACACACACACACACACACACACACACACAAAGTATTCTGGACAAGTACGTTAGTCAGTAGGCTGTTGTGTTGGAGGCAAGAACTACAATAACAGCTATGGTCCTAAGAACATGTATAGCAGACTTCAGGGAGAATTTTAGACTTAGGACCCAAAGCTGATAGAGGAGATTCTCACCCATTCCTTTTCTCCATTAACTAGTTTGTGGGATTTTATACAATTGTATGTGGCTAGTACCTCTTGCTGACTACCTACTGGCAGTTCCTGGCCAAACAGTGGGTTTTTTTAGTAGCCCGTAGGCGTCTAACCCCTCCAAATATAGGGAGCCCCATTCCTTAATGGGATTTAGGTTCTACTCTGGTGGCAAAGTGCATAATGTTTAGTTTCCGAATGTGGTAAGTTGATGTATTGGCACTAACGTTATTTTTTGACTCTCTCTTGAATCAGGAGATAAGGATTTTACAAGGAGGCCAAAGTATTTTCAGATTATCCATTCTCTTTTCATACACAAATAAGTAAATTTTACCTACTTTGTCTTTTTTCCATTACAGTTATATTGAAATAGGAATTAAAAAGCAACAGGGGAAAAGGAAAGAAGTGATGGTAAGTGTTTAAATTACTATTAAAGATATCCATTCATTACTTTGTTGGTATCATTTGTATTTAACAGTTCAAATATAATATTTAAGGGAAGAGTACGGTATGGTAATAGTATCAATGCACCTGATATTCATTATCCTAAAGTTTAGGTACAAAGATATGTTAATCTTGCAGTTTCTCATAACTTTCCTTTGTTTATATTGTCTAACTATTTAATTATCAGTTGACTGACAATAAATTATTATCTGAATTTTTCATAATTGATGGTAATTATTGCACTTCTGTACTCTTTGCAGTAGGCTGTGCAAGTAGTAGTTCAGCCAGCATTACCTGTAATACACACGTTTAGTAGTTAATCACAGAGTCACAGAAAAGTTGAGGTTGGAAGGGACCTCTGGAGATCGTCTAGTCCAGACTAGTTATTGGTAGTAGGTTGCACTGTCTGCTGAGCATATCAGTAGTCTTGATCATAGAAACGTAATAAATAGGCCTGGGGAAAAAAAACCTCAAGAGTTTCACTGTCTTCCTTCAGCTAAGGATCAAAGGAGAATCATTATACCAGTACCAGTATTGATGCTGAGAGATGGACTATGTTCATACAGCTTGTGTCACCTGCCCCTGAACCTTTGGCCTTAGCTGGGGAAATTTCCCATCTCGTCTCCTGCTTTGTCCAAAGTACAGCATGGCTAGGCTCACAGCTTATTTGAGTGGTTCAGGCACTGCAGTCACCTGATGGTCTTGATCTCAGCTGAAACTATTGCTAGCTAAGTAAGGTCTTCCGTGTTCTGTTCTGCTCTGAAGTCAAAGAGGTTTTCTTAGACCACATAGGTGTTAAGCTAGCTTATTTGAATTTGAACTGGAACAGAGGATGAGAAAAGTTCAGAATTACCACCTGATGGTTGTAGGTCATAAACCTAAACCTAATAAGCCTTCATCGCACGGAATACTGCATATCCTTTCTTAGTCATTTTTGGCAGTTTGACCGGCAAGATGTACGTTTGCATTGCTACATCTCTGCTGCATTTATCATTATAATAGCTCTTTATTATTTGAAACGTAGCAGATAAAATGAAAAGATGTGCCCTATTTAAGTACCATTTGAATCCTCAAAATAAGTCTTAAGTGATATAAAAGACTTTTAAGCAAATTTAAGGAATTTAAGCAAACATAAGAAGGGTAATTTTAGGCATACAGGAAGTCCTGAGTATTGCATGTGTATACACCAAGTGTGTATCCTGTATACAGGCTTTGTCAAGACGTGTCCCTGTGCAAAGAATGCAGAGTCCAACCACTAGGTATGCATGCTGTCTCACTGAATGTTTGATTTTGAGTCCAGTCTTACTACACATATGGTGTACAGCCTAGTCTCAGTCAACGCGGTACAAATTGCATACAATATAGAGTTCCTTTGTGCATGCTCAGCCAGTTAGAACTAGTGATTATCCTTCTGAATGGGATCTTTGCATTCTGTAATACGGCACTGAAGGCAAATAGACTTTAGGTTCATAAAAATTAAATAGGAAAGGCCTTAGGTAAAATTCTACATTTTGTATTATAATTGGAACTCAATTTAAAACAGAGATTTTCAATAGTTATATTTTCCCTCTGTCATCACATTCATAGTACAATATAATGCAAATGAACTGGGCTAAGCTACTGGCTTCACTGAATTTGTACCATTTTTACTGAAAATTTACTGGAAAACAGAGTTAGTCTCCGGCAACTTTTATCTAAGAAGGCTATTTCTTGAAATTTTGGGTTATCACTTTGGTATATCTTTGATATAAATTAATAAAATCCAAGTCTGTAAAATGCTATAGTAAAACATATTTAAAATCACATTTTAATTACTGTGAATAAAAAACAGCTAGTGAACTTGTATTCTTGAATCTACGTTATCAAAGCTATTGTAATGAAACAAACATCTGGGTCTAATTTGGATAACAGTGCTTCTCTTTGTACAGCTTTTTTTTTGGCATGCTTTATAATACTGTTTTGGCAGTAGAGAGGATTTATAAAATATCAGTCTGAAAGTGCCACTTTTGCTATTGCCACTTCTGCTATATTTTATTATTTTCTCCCCATCAAATAATATTAAGAGTCAAATTCTATTTGTTCATGTATATAGACTTGAAACAGGGACTGGATCTAAGTGATTACAGAGTGAATGACTTACATACCTGGGACCCGCCGGTTCCCGGGTTGGGGTGGCTACTCCAGTTACGTCCTGCCTGTGTGTCATCATGAGACCTCTGTGTTTATTCTCCTCTTCCTGTACCTTTTCTTCCACTGAAAGAACACCAGGATCATGGCCAGGAGGAGATCTGTACATGATGGCTGTAGTGGTCAATTACACAGTGCCAGAGCATATTTCTCTGACTGAATCTTTGTTAATACATTACACGGTCTCCTAGAACATGTTTGTGTACTGGATCTTGATAATCTATACTGTCAAGCTTTTAGGACAGGCCCTGACGTGCTTTTGACCTGGACCAACTTGTACACCAATTTGCAGTCACAGTTAGAATGGGCCAGAGACCATTCAAAATAGGCATGAACCCTGTTTTGGAGACTAAGCAAGCTTAATATTATAGAATAGTCAGATGATGTTAAGTGGTTTTGGGGCTGGACAATAGGTGTTGTCACTGTTTTGTTCACTAGTATAGATGCAGCAAGTCCCTGACTGGATGGGACTTGTGAGAGACCAGGGCTTTGTGATGCATTGTTCCACAGTATTTGACCAGTCTAAGAGCTTTGCTGTGCTCCAGAAATATTCCTTTCCGCTAGAAAATTGATAACTGTAATGGAAATAAGAGAACTAAATGAAAAAAAATGCAGCATTATCAACACTAGTTAATATATATTACATCTAGACGAGTACTAGCCCTCAGTGGCCACCTTCATACTAGTATGGACAGAGCCAGGATGTGGGCTTGAGCCCTGGCATATGATAGAACAAAATTTGTAACTTTTTAGTGTAATCCTTGACATGTTTTTGGCCAGTGCCAGCTGGCACTCTCCCGAACTGTGTCCTTTGTTTGGGGTTAGCATTTCCTATGGGCAGTATAGAATATCCCATGAGGAGAATTTAGATATGGATGTGATGCCATTCTGTGCCTTGTGTCCTCAGGTCCCTGGTCCTTTTTAGTTTGTTGCTGTAGATACAGACAGTGAGGCTGCCTAAAGGCTAAATATGACATGAAAGTTGAAATGGATATTGTGAATGTTTATGTCTAACCATTTCCTTATACGTTTGCTGATAGAATCCCATCAGTGAAGACATCTGACTAACTGATACTTAGCACCTTTTAGTTTTCCGCTGCGCTTAAGAGTTTTTACATCTAAGGACAGGTTTTAAGCTGGAGAGAAGATATATGCTTTCCTACTTTTGCCGTTAACACTAGCAACAAAATCTCTGTTCTTACTGGTTCCTCATCACAGGACATAGGTTCCTGTCAGATCAGAGGAAAAAGAGGGTGTGAAAGAATGAAAGTAACACTCTGAGGTACAAGGGAGTCATTTGTGTGCAGCTCCAAAACCAAATACTTCTGTACCGTGTGACAGAGGTGGGTGTGAAACTGAGTAAAATAATGACAGTTATTACTGGTTTTAGTCTGATCAAATTCTATTATTTGCTGTGTCAGTAGCCATTGGATGAATCAATTGAAGTTACATACAAGTTTATAATCACTTCAGCATCATTAATGATGTGAAGAGGACTTTATATGGCATAAGCTAGAACAAAGCGTTGCCAGGAATGTCTGTTTTTCAATAGGTGGAGAAAACAGGTTTTAAAATTACTGGCCTACTTACTATAAATATTTAGGTCTTTATTCTGGTTTAGACTCCTGTGTGGGAAATGCTTTTTGATTCCAAGTCTCAAATTTTCATTTCTTAGCTTAGCAAGTATTGGAAATGCTGTGGCGGCAGCTTATTTTCTCAGGGGAGACTGCTTATTAGGCCATTTGACAGCAACTTCTCTGGTTGATTAAATTGTGTCAGTTGCTTCAGAATAGAATCTTCTTTTGAACAAATGGTGAATGACCATGGCACAGGTTCTCTAGGACAGAAGACATAGAAAAAGTGAAAACCTTAGGCTTTTTCAAGAATGCCAGATTTTCCAAAATATTGATAATGTAACATATTGTACTGAACAAAGACAGCATTTAAAACTGAGACTAGTGTTTATAGTTAAGGAGTGCTTGTGAGAATAAAATATTTTAAACATCTTGCATCAACTAATGTTGTATGATTTATTTTTTCTGCAGATTAAACCAGTAGTTCATAGTACTATCCGTGTGCCTTCCAGATGGCAATGTATCTATAATAAGCCACGTCATATCAAGTAAGTATGTTATAAGTCAGACATTTACCTTTGGTTTTAAGTTTTCTGCTCTAGCAGCATATACAAACTCCCAAATGTGTATTCAGTTAAAAGCTAAATGTTTATAGTGAAACTCTGGTATACCAAGTGTAATTCAGAATGGTCAAATTCTGTCGTTATTTACATGCTTCATAGATCCTACTGATTTAAATTAACTTTGGATGATATAACAATATGCCAATTTTTTCCCCAAATATTCTTAAGGAAAAAGGACGTGAGGTGAGAACGGCAGCATATATTGCGTTCATAATTGGTTAGTGCTAGTAGAATGCAAAAAAATCCCACTATATAATATTCCAAACCATTATATGATACCAAATGTATATATCATGGATGATATGGTAAAATGACACTTAATCCAGGGGTTATTTAGAAAAAATCTATTGGAATCGTAAAGCAGCGCAGAGATTTCTAAAACAGTGGTGTGTCATGAATGGAGAATATGAGCAAGTAATTCTGTTAGCTGCTAACGAAATTTTCTTAGAGATTTATATCCCATATTCCCTAAACTCTCCCCGAATAATAAACCGGAATGATAAACCACACTTCTATTCCGTGTGCCTCAGGCCACCCTCACTGGGCACAAAAAAAGGGTGTATTGTGGCTACAGTTCTTACCAGCAAGCTCCAACAAGCTCAGGTAGTGTGTATAACAAAACTGAAGCAATGTCACCTCCTTTGGAGATGTGATGCTTGCTACACAGTAAGAGCAGAGCAGTTCAGCTGTGCAAGAATGGAGGAGTAAAGTGTTGAATATAAAGCAGAAAAGATAATAATACTTTGTCTCTCAGTGCTAGAATGTTCTGTTAAGATTTGTTTAACAGAACAGCTTTTATTTAAAATGGGCATTCAAAGTGGTATAACCAGAGAAGGGCTACTACTAGAAGTTTGTAAATGTTGATTGTTTAATTTTTAATTAAATTTCAACTTATCTACTAATAATTCAGGTTATTGTGACAGTGCGTACATACACGTAGTTATAACAGGTTGCAAAATCAGAGCGATCAAAAGGCTCTGCAGATTTTGCTAGGTCATCCTTAAGTTAAACCATTTTTATGTGACCCTTACATGACCTTTTCTGTTATATCCACATAACAACTTGTCTGTTACAGGAGAATCTCAGGAAAAATAGGTGTATTTGCATCATTAATTGAAAATCAGTAGATTTGGACTCTGACAGGTAGAAATGTAAAATTAGTTCTATATTGAAGACAACACTGAAAGTGGCATGTATTCTTTCCGTATATAACTAGACTTATGCTCGGAGTTTTGTATGATCTTACCTGGAACTGTATTGTGGAGATCTTTGAAGTAATCACGATAAATCCTATTGAAGTGTTTACTGGTTAAAGTTAATAGCCTTTAAATTGTACCCAGAAATAAATACAAAGCTAGGATAATTCTCAGAGAACAGGTGTGATGTAGGAAATGTTACCGTCAAGCTAATGTTGAAATATTTGTTTTTTCTCTAATGAAGCCATCATACATAATTCCAATGTCAAAATCGAGGTTAAAAATGTAAATTGAAGAGCATCTCTGACATTAAATATGTGCTGAATTGCTCCTTTAAGGAAAGGAAGAGTATGTGTATTTTATTGAATAATTCTCAAACACTGTATATCATCCATGGTAAAATTAAGATAACAGGTTTTAAGGATGAAAAAGATTCTTTAGGTCATGTAGTTCATTCCCATGGCTGCCATGCCTGGTACTCTACAATATATTTTATTTGCCTAGTCTGGATTCATATGTTTCTAGGGATGAAGTTTCTGATCCTCCCTTAGAGGATTATTCTGCACTTTTATATTTCACAATGATAGTAAGTTCTATTTTTTTCTGAAATTTGACCTACAAAAGCTGTGTCTACTTACAGCGTATTTGAGAAAATAACCTCTAAAAATAAGGAATGAGATAATTTTTTCTGGCAAATTGAACGTTCTGTTTCAGTATATAATGTGCAGGTTTTATATTTATATACTAAAAGTTCCACTAGATGGCCCCAAACATCTTTCCAAATACAACCTTTATTATTTCAAGATGTTGTTTTAAAGTGGCATCCAGACATAAATATTTGCTCTTGGCTGAAACTTGACACACTGTGCTAGGACTTGTCTCAGGCTTTTTTTTTTTTTTTTGGCTTAAAAATGTTTGAATACGTGTTCTTGAAAAGCATTTTGCTTGCCAAAGTATTTTTACCTACGTAGGAAGTTATATTATGGCACTTAGAAGCTAAATCTTCAAATAACAAAGTATATCATTGGCAATTGCAAAAGAGAAGGAGTGTAGAAAGCTGTTCCATACTGAGCATTTAAATTTTATTTAGATAAAGAATTACTAAATTAATAAATGTTAATTGATTGAATTTTATGCTATTTGAATTTTGTTAAGTCCCTTGTATTACACAGAAGGAATAGAATTACTTCAGATTCCTGTTTGATTTACATGGATGATTATTAAAAGTTACTTTGGTGGGGAAGAAGGTATACAAGATGCTTTCTAAAGCACCTTAGAGCAGGTTTGCAAAACTGTCAATGTGAAATAGCTAATTTCAGCATAGACAGAAAATCCTCTTTTGAAACAGTAATTTCTGCAGCTGTAGATTTTTCAGTGCTGGCTTCTGTGCAATCCCTTTTTTTTCTGTAAAAAGACAAGGTAACCTCTAATCAAAATGCTGTACTCATACAGGTCATAGTAGGTCAATTCCTTTCTCTTATGTTATCAGTTGGATCCGGTTCTCAGCTATGTTAGGCTCTAACTCGCTCCCTGTGGCGTCATCACTGTTTTGAGGGAGAGACTGGGTATAATAGAGGATTGAACCTATGGTAGCAATTATACATAGTAAAGTGTTGAAAACGTTTGCATGTATTAGATATCTTTGCCATGTCACATATTGTTATGTTAGGGTATAAGTTGTTATTAGAGAATTATTTATTAGAGAAAAATGTAGTAGGTGAAACTTTGTGAGGAATTTTCGGCTGTAAGATGCAATGTCAAAAAAGTGAATAGATTTATTGAGTGAAAATTCGGTAAATTGAATATTAAGATTGGTGTCATTAGTGACAGGAAAGGGGAACATTGTATGAATTCTATGAAATAATGTATGAATGAGTTAGGAGTTATGGAGACTCACAGAATCACAGAACGGTTGAGGTTGAAAGGGACCTCTGGAGATCATCTGGTCCAACCCCCCTGCTCAAGCAGGGTCTTCTAGAGCATGTTGCACAGGACCCTGTCCGGGAGGGTTTTGAATATCTCCAGGAAAGGAAACTCCACAACCTCTCTGGGCAGCCTGCTCCAAGGCTCAGTCACCCTCACAGCGAAGAAGTTGTTCCTCAGGTTCAGCTGGAACTGCCTGTGGTTCAGTTTGTGCCCGTTGCCTCTTGTCCTGTTGCTGGGCACCACTCAAAAGAGTCGGGCCCCATCCTCTTTACACCTTTCCTTCAGATACTTGAACATGTAGGTGAGATCGCCCCTCAGTCTTCTCTTCTCCAGGCTAAACAGGCCCAACTCTCTCAGCTTCTCCTGTGTCAGATGCTCCAGTCCTTTCATCATCCCGGTAGCCCTTCACTGGACTTACTCCAGTATGTTGATGTCTTTCTTGTACTGCAGAGCCCAGTACTGGGCACAGCACTTCAGATGTAGCCCTACTAGTGCTGAGTGGAGGGGAAGGTTCACCTTTTTGACCTGCTGATGACACTTCCAACTGCTGCCCAGGATGCTTTTGGCTGCCTTTGCTACAAGGGCACATTGGTGGCTTATGGTCAACTTACTGTCCACCAGGATCCCCGTTTTTTTTTCTGTAAAGCTGCTTTCGATCTGGTTGTCCCCCAGCCTTTACTGGTACCTCATGTTATTCATCCTCAGGTGCAGGACTTTGGATTTGCCTTTGTTGAGTTTTGTGAGATTCCTGCATTCTTCAAGCTATTGAGGTTCCTCTGAACGGTGGCCCAACCACTGGTGGTGGTGTAGCAGCCATTCCTCCCAGTTTTACATATTCTGCAAAGTGACTGAGGGTGCACTCTGTCCCATCATCTAGGTCATTAAAGAAAATGTTAAACGGTACTGAGTGCAGTGTTGAGCACTGGTGACTGGCCAGTAGGTGGGCTTTGTGCCACTGATCTCAACCCTTGGAGCCTGGTAGTTCAGTGAGTTTTCAGCCCACCTCACTGTCCGCTTATCTAGTCTATAGTTGATCAGTTTGTCAATAAGGATGTTATGGGAGACAGTGTTGAAGACCTTGCTAGAGTCAAAATAAACAATATCCATTCGTCCACCTTCATCCTCTGAGCTAGTCTTTTCATCATAGAAGGCTATCGGGTTGGTGAAACATAATGTCCCCTTCATAAATCCACGCTGACTACTCCCAGTCACCTTGTTTTTATTGATATATTTGGGAATGGCTTCCAGGATCCATGAAGAAATCAGCTGATTTGCCCACTGTTTTAAAGAACTGTATGACATTTGTGCTGGGGATCGTGAGGATATCTTTAGATAACATGGAGACAAGGTGCCTGAAGTCTAAAGGACAGTATATTTTGCTGTTGACTCATGCATCATGTCAGATAGAAGCACATTAAGAACAGAATCCTGTATTTTTATGAATGAGTTTTAAAGTTTAGTGAAATAGGCTAAGATTTAAAATAAACGTTGAAATCTAACTGACAGTACTAATAACTATCCAGGCTACCACATATTGTCAAATTGATACATTTTGTCTTTCTGTTTTTTATTACTTTCTTTACTAAAGAAAGGTACCTTCTTTGCCTTTTGACAGTGTTTTCACCAATGGAGAGATGATCAAGCCACCTATAAAATTTATCATACCCAGGTTTACTCTGAAAAACTGGAATTGTGTCCTTGCCCTAATTAATGAAAAAATGCTTCTTCGTTCAGGAGGTGTTCACAGGTAGGAAACAATCAATAATTTAATAACCCCAATAAAACTGCTCAGTCTCGCAGTTTATCACTCTTTTTATTCACATATCCTTCCCATAGCACACATCAGATTATGGTGTTCCACTGTTTGGTTAGCAATATATAAAGAAGCTAGTTATCAAAAGCAGGATATTTCAAGCTTCTGAGAGTTAACCTTCCTTAAAATGAATATTTCTTTCTTTCTTTGTGCAGTGCAGACAATCATACATCAACAGAGTCCATGTTTCCAGCTAGCTGGAACCATGAATGCAACTAACATGCAATCAGATAATACTGAGCATGAGGACATGACCTCATACAGTATATCGTTTGAGAAATAAAGCAAGATGAGTTCTACTTTTTTTGATAAAGCTCTTAATTTCCCAGGACATAAATGAAAATTTATTTCTTTTGTGCTTAGAAATCTTCCATCTAAAACTGGTAAAACATCTTTTCCTTTGTGTGGTCTTTCCTCTAATTGTAAGGATCAGAATCCTTACACTTCCAAGAGTCCTCTTAAGGGAAACTTTTAAAGTATGAAAATCTTTCAGAATTTAGACCAGAAAACACTTTATGTCCATCTCACCTATTTTAACTTCAGAATGGTTCAATGATTATTTCTGAAGCAACCGTCTTTCTAAACAACTGTTCTATTGAGATCTATCCATATGTTGAAAGTATTTACCTGGTGGCAGAAGTGTTCTTGAAAGCTACAAATAAAAAAGGAATTTACACTGAACTGTTTTCTTTGTAACATTATTTGCCTATATATCTCTTGGGACCTGTGCTAAATTAGAATTAGTTAATGGTTCTACTTCCATATCCATAACAATATTTGAAGAATTCAGAACTGCAAACTACTAAACCACACATTTGCAGCTTGTGAACACATTACTTTCCACAGAGAATATTACTTCTTTGTAGAAATCTAACTTTAGCATGTATTATTCTATAAATAAAGCTGTTTCTCACTATCTTATTTCACATAGAACCTGATGTTCAAGGCCTTTACGGGCTGAGTAGACTTGCTAAATTAATTTTTTAGTGTAAGCATGTTATAAGCATGTTATTGTACTCCTTTTATTTTCTTGAGTCACAGTTTTGTGAAGCATTGAAAAACTGCTGATGATTATACTACATTATCTGCTATTTATCTCATAACATTTATTTCTCTTCTGAGAGAGTGTACGTATGTGCATGTACTGGAGCTGTTAGCCTCATTATTCACTGTGGGGATGCATTCTTTCTCTATCTCCTCCATATGTGACACATGTAGTATAAAAGAGAAGAATATGTATCTTATCTCTTACCTTTTATCCTTCTCAGCATTGCAGTTGGGTCACAGTGATTTTTTTCTCTGGCTCATGTTGAGTCTCTGGTCAAGCCCAGGTGCCCTCTCAAAATGCCTTGCCTCAGTCATCTACCATTTCCTCTAAGATGCCAAAAACTTTAGCACATCTGTGCTTCTTGCCGTGAGTTGCCTATACACAATGCAGTTGTAACACGCCCCAGGCCTTCCTCCTTTTACTGGGGCTTTATACTACTGTGAAATAGGCATGGCGTATGCTTGCTTCCCGTTCAGTTCCCTTAGTCCGCTGGCTGTATCAAGCCACTTTTCTGTGTTTTCTGTTGTGTAAAACTGTCTCATCTTTATTTCTTTACCACTGAGACGTCTTTCAACATCGTTGAGTCTTCTGCTAGCATACAGACTTCTCAAATGAGATTCTTACAGGTATTGACAGCTGTTTGAGGTCCTCTAGCCTCCCCCTTCTGCTCCAGAGTGGCATGAGACTTTAGGAGTCCTATGCCCCCTATTTTGCATGTCTTAAGTTCCATAAGGAATCTGCAGTGGCGCTAGATGCCATTGATCAGGTGGCTGAGATTTGTATGTGTGGTTTTGTGTTAAATGCTAGCATCTAGTAGAAGATCTTCTGAGCCAGCAGAAACTGTAACAGACGTCGTCTACTTTCATCGCCGTCAAAGTTCTCCTTGCCTGTTGATGCACTTTTGGCTCCCATACATGGACTTGAGGCTTCTGCAAGTCCACCTCCGGATATTCTGTGCTTAGATACATCCTTGCAAATGGCAGCATTCTGTCTAAATTGTCAAGGTTCGTAGCTTGGTGTAAACTTTTGTTATTACGCCCATTTGTTAACCTGCCTGCTTGTGATGCTACATTTTTTACTGGATATGAAGATTTTTGTTAGTTCAGTCATCTGAACTGTCCATCTGATGGTTATTTTACTCTACTCCCTCATTTTTTAGGTTTTTGTGCAGTCTTGCATTCTGCAACTGGTGTGACAAATATGACAAGACAATTTCCCCTACTTAAAAATCTAGCATCATGACACGATTTAAATCAAGTGCTCATTTTCTTAATGGGAAAACCTTTGGCAACATGTTCTTCCTTTTGTTTGTTTTTGGTGGCAATTGCTTTATGTAGGAGAATAGAGAAGGTTTAAACCCAGACGTCTGATCTGTATTCTTTCTCTCTGTGGGTTTTTTTTTTTTTAAGTAAATGGTTATTCTTGGAACTCAAAGTAAGTTTTCATCCAGATGGTGTCAGTTTCACTTCAATCAAGATTCTAATTTGTCTGCATTTTTTTTGAAAGTTACCCATATTCACAATGAAAATTGTTTTGTGCATTATGGTTGTTAGATCCACTTTATCTTTTTCTGTTGACAGGAGAAGTTTCTCTTTAAAGAGATTTCGCCTTTACACATTTGTTGTGAAGGGATCTAAAGGATTATTTCTCACTGAATAGTTGAGTATGTGAGAAGGTGTTATGGGGTAGCCAAGAAGGAAGTCTCCCCTTATTTAGGGCTCATTCAACCAGAACTCAAGGCAATTAGAGAGATTTACCATTGGTTGACATCTACAA